CACACACACACACACACACACACACACACACACACACACACACTTAACCCCAACACACGAAATAAGCAAACTGGTTGCAGCTTTTCTCATTCCGTCAGGTAAAAGACTGGCTGGTCCAGTGATGCCCTCAGTCTAACAGAACCCGGAGGGATCRTGTTCTGCTGGCCTTGTGCTTTCTGCCCTGCAGCACACACCACCTCATCCCACCTGACACAGCTCAACGCCCGCAGAGCAAAACACTAACTAAATGGAAGACACGCCGGTCATGGGAACTCCTTCCCACGCCCACGGACCGGAGGAGACATCCTGGGTAACCATGGGAACCCCCCCACCACACACACACACACACACACACACCTCTTCACACCGTGACATAGCAAGTATTGAATGACGACCCTGATGGAGGCGCGGGGGGCTGAACCTCTTCATCAGCTGAGGGGTTAGGAGGCCAAAGGAGGCAGGTGATGGCGATGATTGAGAGGATGAGGAAAGAGGATAAAAATAGCTCCTCCTGAGGAGGAGAGGAGTCAAAAAGCCATATGTGAGCAATAATAAGCAACAAATGAAGAAGTGATGGAGGCTGGGATGGGGAGGCAGATGGAGGCAAACAAATAGATCAGGACTGAAGGGAGGAGGAGTGGGGCTTAATACATCCTCACATGATAACCTATATAAACCCTGACATGAGGATATATGCTATGACCACAGCAGACTGATGCACAGTCAATAAATTAAATACAAAAAAACAAAAACACAACTGTTTAAACAGAGGCACTCAGAAAACTTCCTTCTGGCAAGGGAGGGATAGCCATTCTTGGAAGAATGGAAAGATTAGAAATAGTAGAGATGTTGCCTGACATAATGAGGAACAGAAATAGTCAGTAGTTTGTAACTAAAGAAAAAAGAGAGAAGTTGTAGGTACGGGGCTCCTGCCCCGGACAAAGACCTGGTCCTGGCCCGGGGATCGAACCCGTTCATCGGCTGGCTCCAGCTGCTCTGCGGGGAGGCACGGAGCTTTGTTTGTCCCCCCCGCTCCAGGCAGAGAGAACCACAGTCAGTGTGTCCAAAAGATAGTTTAGGGCCTGGTTCAGGCACAGGTCTCCCCTCTGTTGTTGAAAACAAACGGCCTCGGAGTGGGTCTGGCACACACAGCCAACCAGGATGTGTGGAAATTTTCAAATTGTGCTAAAAATAATTAAATAAATTGAAAAAAAAAAGCGACGGCGTCCGAGCCGAACCAGCACATTCACGAACACCCCACCACCAAAACAAAACACGTCCCACTGTCCACTCGTTTTTTTTTTAAACATAAAATCGCCTCAACGTTAAGAGAAGCGAAAACAAACCATGTAGGAAAACAAGAGTGAGAAAGCTCCGAGCGGTCCACTCAGGAAACAGAACCCACAGGACCGTGGGTCCAGCTGGGGCATAAACCAACACGTTTACACGGTCCGAAAGTAACTCGGGCTAATACTTACTCAGATGAACCGGTTCCGCTCGGTCCACTGGAGGGTAGCCGCTCGGTTTTCCGGGCTGTGCGCCGGCCGGGCGGGATCGGAGCTATGGAGACTGGAGTGCTGCGAGCCGAGAGGACTGAACGTAAAGTGTGCGTCATTTCACCAGGATGCCACTAAAGGCGCGCGGCGGTGCAGCCATCTTTACTGAAGAGCGCCCCGCCAAGTCACCGAGCACGAGCAGGACTGGACTGGACCGGACCCGAGCACCASCACAGGACCTGGACCTGCATGGGACTCAACCTCTGCAAGGCTCTGCAAATTCTAAAACTGGTGATTTCTTACTAAGAAATGCCACTAAGATTTACTCAAATCAAATAAATGGCATAAAAACTGCCATACCAGTAGGCTACTGCTATATACACCAGGGGTTCTCAAACTTTTTGGGTCTGGGGACCCCTTACAAGTGTGAAAAATTCCCAGGGACCCCCTCATAAACCCTGTGCTGTTTTAGAAATAACATACTGTCTTTTTAATCCCTAAATACTATGGGAATATTTTTTTGTTTGGTTTAGAGTGTTTGTTTTACTTGTGCGTTGTTCTCCATACTCATTTTTAAATAAAATCCAAATTAGCAACTTATTGAAATTTCTTGAGGACCCCCAAGATAAGGCTTGTGGACCCCAGTTTGAGAACCTCTGCTATAAACTATAGGAGTTATTTAATTTACTACATGTTTTTTATCTTTGTTTGTGTGTGGCATCTTTTAAAATTTTCATTATTAGAAAAAATAAATGAGTTTTGCAGGTAAAATATAAAATGTGATTAATTACTCCTTACCTCCAGATTACACTTTAGGCCTACTCACATTAAATCAGGACTGATTATGGTTTTTGTTTTTATAAACTAATCCAAAAATAATCTGTTTACCAAACTTTGACAGTATTTATTACTCACAAATCTGTGGGAAACTTGCAGTTTAGACATTAAGCTGAGTTCTTCTGCATGTTGTTTGGTTGGTTTAATCTTTAATTCATTAAGCATGTAAAATACAAAAGTACTCAATTTATGGCACTCTACTAATAAGTCACAATCACCTTGTGATGATTATAATTTGTAACTGACCAACTCTCCTAGGGGGTTTTGTTTACTTTGCAGGTTTTTCTTAGAAGTCAATACATGATTTCTACCAGTACTGAAGTATTTCTACCAGGCATAAACACTTGTTCTACCACAGCTTGACAGTAGTGCCACACTGAGAATTTTCCAATTACATATCCGTCGCCTTGACTCAGAGTATTTGACGTGGGTGTCCCACCCACTGCTGGAAACAACTAATTTTCAATCTTTGAGTCAAACATTCCCATCTCTTCTCAAGTCTAGTTCATCATTTCCGTGTAAAACGATGACAGCTTTTTCTGYCTTCTTTTTTGTTCCAATTCAATTATGCCTTCCCCCTGACCTGATCTGAAATTTAAAATTCTGTTTTTTATCCAGTTTTGAAAAGCTAAAATAAAAAACTTCACCAAACTTTCCTATATTTAAAACAATCCACCCAGCTTAGTTTGAACATTTTATTGACCTGATCCTGTTAAATCAGAGGCTGATTTCTGCTCACTCCAGCAGCAGAAGAAACAGACCTGACAGCGCCACCCTGTGGTGGCTTACAGATGTGTAAATCCAGCACGTTCCAGGGAGTGTTTCCTCCAACGTGGTCTAAGTGCTGCTGCTGTTTGTGGTGGAAGCCAGAACCCGAGGCAAACAGCGCTGAATCAGTTCATTTGATGCATCTGGATAAATAAATATTTACACACKATCTCTTGCGTACTCCAGAAAGAATCTTGTTTGTTTGTTTTTTTTGTTCACCACAGGCCCATAAAAATAATTTATATCACCAAACACCGCCCCTCCCACATTAACGAGTTTACTGATCCTCAACATGTATATTAGATTAGACCCTAGACCATTAAAATATTAAATAAAACATCACAAATAATCTTCACATTTGAATAAAATCAGCTGGTCGATGGATTAATGAATAAGAACAAAATTAGTTGGTCAATGGATTAACAAGTGAGCAAGAGTTGTTGGAACAGAAACGGACGAGTCGTTAATGCATAGAGAGAACAACAGAGCGACTGGAGGTGAGGTGCAGTTACAGTCTGGTTTGAGTGGTTTAGCAGACGGTGAGGTAAGAACCTRGTCTCTCGTTCATCGTCTACCTAAGGACACCTCTGTGGTCCAGAGTTACAGTACGTGGGCTGCATTTGTGCGTGCTAACTTCCACAGAGAGACAAGATAAACCTCAATGGCAGCTTCCTCAGAGTTCATCACATGGAGACTGGTGACATGATACGCCCGCTCCAGGTCATCTCCCTGTGCTGGGTCGAAACCACAGTCTGAGAATATCACGTGTCAGAGCTCATCCTTCTCCATCTGCTTGAAAGCCTCCAAGTCCTCYTGCCAATCAGCCAGCAGCTCGTCCACAGACTGCCTGCTGGGGCCCGCGCCGCCTTCGGCCTCCTTCGTTTTCTCAGAGTCTCTCTCCTCTTTAGGCTGAGCCTGTGGATGGATGGCGSTCGTTTCTTCTCGCGGCGCTTGCTCCGCGGGAGAAGCGACGGGACGGACCTCCTCCTGCGCGGGAGGAACTTCATCCAGCTCCACCGTGCTCATCTGCGACTGGCTAACGGCGTCACACGAGGTGGGAGTTGTTGCTTCGGTTTGACTGTCCTCCTCTGCTTCCGGCATGTCTGCACCTGAAAGGGAAGCGGGGGCGAGGATGAACAGCTTTATACAAAAAAAAGGTGTACAACACACACACACACACACACACACACACACACACACACACACACACACACACACACACACACACA